AGGCTCCGGTGGCTTTTAGCTTGCACGGGAAGGGGACAACGCAGAACACGAAACGCAGGCAGGCTCTGGTGGCTTTTAGTTTGCACATAAAAGGACTGGCAATTGCCAACAGCTAAGCAGCTCTGTCGGACATTATTCCCAGGCCAAGGCATTATCCCAGCGGGATCTTAGTCCAAGCTGTAGGGCCCTTGATTCACTTGGGAAGAGGAGAAAAATCAACCTAGCGTCCCCAAAGACAAAGCCGTCCCTGATGAGCCCAGAGGGCCCCTGCGCTGCACCCTGGAGGCGAAATGCAAACCTGGAACAAGGCCGCTGAGGGATCTCCCACTTTTACTGCTCGGAGTCATCAAAAAGCGCCCCGTCACTCAGCCCAGAGAAGCGGAGACCAACACGGGCCTTCTGGAGTTAGTTGGCCTGCAGGCAGCAAGCCCGATTTCCGGCTGTAATTAGATCATTGAATTATGTTTGAAGGGAGGCCTTACGTGCATTTCCCCCCTCTAATTATTTTAATTAAACCAAGATGTGGCAGGACTGAGGAGGAAAGGCTGAGATGACTTCATGGGCCTCGCCCTGCTGGGACACGCAGGGCTCTGATTTCAGGGTTGTGGGTGATGCGCAGGGTGCAGTGACAAAGGAAAACGACGACTGTGCCCCAGCCTAGGGCCTGATCGTCTTGCTTCACAGGCACCTCCCTCCCTGCGGGCACAAATCGGCCAGAAACAGATGGGGCAGAAACAGGAGGGAGGCTCTGGAGGGGCAGTTGCAACACCACCTGCAGAGAGGGGGCAGCGTCCTTTGCTGCCCTGCCTGGTCCATTTACCCTGCTCCCCCCCTTGCTGGGCAGACAGCGCCCATGGGAGCAGGGTCTCTGGTGGGCCTGTGCAAGGTCTGAGTAGGACCCAAGATCTGGGGTCCCACCCTGCTCGCTGCACAATCCTAGAATCACAGCACCCCAGGGCGGCCAGAGACTCAGGAGTCACCGAGTCCAGCCCCCGTCCCAAAGCAGGACCCACCCCACTCAATCAACCCAGCCAGGGCTTTGTCAGACCAGGACTTAAAACCTCCATGGATGGAGATTCCACCCCCTCCCTAGGGAGCCCATCCCAGGGCTTCCCCACCCGCCTAGGGAAATAGTTTGTCCTAATATCCAGCCTAGACCTCTCCCTCTGTAACATGAGACCATTGCTCCTTGTTCTGCATCCGTCACCACTGAGAACAGCCTCTCTCCATCCTCCTTGGAACCTCCCTTCAGGAAGTTGCAGGCTGCTCTCAAATCCCCCCTCACTCTTCTCTTCTGCAGACTGAACAAGCCCATATCCCTCAGCTTCTTCTCGTAGGTCATGTGCTCCAGCCCCCTCAGCATTTTGGTCGCCTTCCGCTGGACCCTCTCCAATGCGTCCACATCCTTTCTGTAGTGGGGGGCCCAGAACTGGACACAATACTCCAGATGTGGCCTCACCAGAGCCGAATAAAGGGGAATAATCACGTCTCTGGATCTGCGGGCAATGCTCCTCCTAATGCACCCCAATATGCACAAGATGAGCTGGAACCTGGTCCTCAAAGTAAAGTGGCTCCAACAGAGCTACCCACTTGAGAAATGCCTGCCGATCGGAGCCACGACGGCAGATCTGGGCCCGTGGTCTTTTAGCGCTGCTGTGAAAAACACACCACGTGGAAGTTCCTTTGGGCAAATGGCCGTCATTCCATGGCTCGGTTTTCCTTAAGAGGCTTGCCAAAGCCCTTGGGGAGAACTTTCCGTCCCTGAGGCAAATGTAACTCCCACCCTGATGTCTGACAACAGCTCTACAGAGTGGTGTGAGCTCCCCAGTCACCTCAAGGAGGGGTTAACTCCCTCCCCATCCAATCTCAGGGCTAGGGTTGCCAGGTGTCCGGTTTTCACCCGGACTGTCTGGTATTCCGGACCCCCGTCAGGTAACAGAAAATTTCCTGTTTCCCTCGGACAGAAGCCCGGTGGGGACAATTTTGCTTAACTTTGGTCTCCCCCCTTTTTTTTCCCCTCAACAGAATTTTTTCCTGGTTTTTTTGGAGGAGGAGGGGGAGGGGTGTTCAGTATTTTTTGTAAACCCTCTGGCAACCCTACTCAGGGCGAAGAGCTCTGTAATTAACGATCAGAGTTACCACAGGGGCTGTTTGGAAGCCTGCAGTACTTTTCCCCAATCCTCCCCATAGCCGAGCGTGCTCCTCCTGTCTCTTTATGCCTTCCACAGTCCCTCATCCTCCACCTTCCCTGCGACATCCTCTCAGGCAGGCTCGCCAGCCCAGATCTCTGCCCCTCCGGAGAGTGAAACATTTGGGGACAGCTTAAAATCTGCTGAACTTACCAGGGAAATCAAGAGCCCCAGGAACAACGGGGAGGCACGACCCTTCCGATCCCATTGCTGGCACTTGCCCGGCCGGGCCTGACCCTGCTGAGGGATTCCCAGCCTGCAGGAACCAGGGTCTTTTACCTGGCAGCGGGGTTTGGAGACAGCTTGCCACGGGGCAGTCGAGTATGGCCCCCTGCCCGCTCAGAGGCTGTGGGCAGCGGCATTCGTTGTTCTAGTACCTCTCCGCCTGCCTTCCGGGAAGGCCACAGTGGGCACTTTCCAACAGAAGAGCCAGTCTTACCCCCTCTGTGGCAGCTGAGTTAAGGCCAGTGTCTTTATTATCCACGCCGAAGGCCTCTGCCTGTCGGAAACCAAGCTATGGGTGGCCTGGCCTAGTGGTTGGAGCAGGGGCAGTTGTGCCTAGTGGTCAGTGCGGCAGCAGCCATGGCAGAGACAGGAGCCGGAAGTCAGCACCGGGATCGGGAGTCAAGAGCAAGGTCAGGCGCAGGCAAGTGTAGGCCCGGGAGCAGGGTGAGGCCAGCGGCGTCCGTCATCATTGCCAGGCCGGAGAGAGCCTCCTGCCCCGCGTGCAGCTCCCGGCTGGTGGATTGGCCGAGCCTGGTGCAGGAATGACTCAGATGCAGCCCTCCTCCGATTGGAGAGTAGCTCTGCAGCCTCTCTCCTGTCCCTAGATAAATCTCCTCC